GTTCTGTTATACCCAAGTAATAAATAAATCTGCCACGATATTTAACAAATAAAACTTGATGCTATTTCAAACTAAATGCAATTGTTTTCAATGGCGTGTAGGAAGATTCAAATCATACAGAATCAAGTATGTTGAAAATGCAGAAGTACAGAATGTTTTTGTGTGGGTTGATTTAGGGGAAGGGTTGTGGGAAGATAGCAGAATATACAGCCTGTACAGTATAAAAATCATTAGTTCTGTGTCTGTGTGTGTATATGTGTGGTTAGGTAGTTCGCTGGAGGACAGTGTGGTGAGGTGGTGCTGTATAAGTCACGCCGAACAGAAGAAATGTGAGCAGTGGGCTATTAGTATAAAATCAGACCCTCTGGTGTGTGTAAAAGCCTCATCTATGAGTGACTGCATTGAGAAGATCAAGGTCCAGTAAGACAATTTTCCCGCAATTGTGATTTAGGTTTAAATAAATATTTTATTTATTGATTAATGTACAATCATTTTTATTATTATTGTACTATTATTAATAGACTTTTTAAAACGTGTACTTGTTTTATTTCAGTTAATTTCCAAGTCATTTTTTGTTTCCATCAGTATTTTAGCTAGTATTTATATTTTACTATTATACTTCAATGAATATTTTTCACTTTTAATTAACAATACCAGCACTGGTGTTTGTCTCGGCCATAGATATATACATGTAGATATATGTCTATGGGTGTCGGCGACTAGAACAGAATCAGTTGTTAATTTTCACAGAGGGATGAAGTGGATGCCGTGTCTCTGGACGCCACTCATGCTTTTATAGCTGGAAAATGCGGCCTTGTCCCTGTTGTGACTGAATATTATGGTATGTAAAGCATCCACTGTCATATTCACCCATGTTTTCAAGCTCACTTCACTCGGATTTGCTTTTGTCTTGTTCATTTAGGAGAGAAATGTGAGACTTCTGCAGGAGGTGGAGGCCATTTTGAAAGTAACGGTAATAAGGAAAATCATTATAAAATGATCTTAGCATAAAGGGCACGTCTTGATTACCACGTCACTACCGTTCATTCTTATCTCTGCAGAATTGCCGCCAGTGTACGGTGTGGCAGTTGTGCGTCGATCAAGCAAGAGTTTATTTTTTGGAAGTCTGGCCGACAGACGCTCCTGCCACGGTCACATGTACAGTCCTGCAGGCTGGGTTTTACCTGTAAGACACACACTTAGCACAGAACACAACAACAGCGCTCCCTGTGAGCCCAATAAAGGTACTACATGCTATTTTCCTCTTGGCATACAGAATTACACAACTGCTTGAATGTCCATTGCAGAAATTCTGACCATGAATACTAGACTGTACCGAATGTGATTTGAAGCTTCTATTGATAACGTTTTGGAATTGTGTAAGAGCTGCTGTCTCAAAGGTTTGCACCAGCAAGTGTTAAAATGTGATTTTTAAAAGTCTAAATGCTAGCAGACATGGATTGAAGCAGAATGTTTTGGTAGATAAAACATGTTGTGAGTTTCAGAAATAATTTTTGTCTCTTTTTAATATATTTGTACGTCAACACTCTTTAATGTAAGCCACTCTTTTCTCAGTGTACTCTGAGGTGTTTTGGAAAGGCTGTTTGCCTGGGGGTCAGGGTAATCTGTGTAAGGTGTGTATGGGTGGAACTGAGGAAGCTGCCACGAAACGTTGTGCTGACAACCATAATGAGCGCTACTACGGCAACATGGGTGCATTAAGGTGAGGATTTGAACTCGATGAAGATCAAATAAAACATTGTACTACATATACTTGACTGTTTTTATTTCATTACGAAGGAACAGTGCACATCTAACAACCTTTCTCAAGAAAGTTAATGTACCCAAATTAGCCCAAAGCTAGTTTTCACTGAGACTCCCTTTGCCAGAAGTTATAGGCCTAAAAATGTTAATTGTAGCAATATATAGGATTATTTTTTATTGGTAGTGCCACATTGCTTAAACCAAACCGCTCTTCAGGGCTTATATTGTCTTTCACTCCAGGTGCCTGGTTGGAGACCCAACTGGGAAAAGTTTTGGAGATGTGGCCTTTATGGAGCACCACAATCTAGAAAGCAACATTGAACGTAGGATATAATCTCTCTCTCTTTCTTTTTTTGGTAGGTTTAAATATGTTCAGAGAAAACGTTTTAAATTTTAACTCCTTCAATTTTATTATTTAATTGGCAGTTTTCTTTAATTCTTTTAAAATCAAGAATTCATCTTGAGTTTTCATTATTCCAAACCTTTGATCTTCCGTGTTTTGACCCCCCCCCCCCCCCCCCCGCCCCCCGTATACATATTCTTCTCTTTTTTTCTATTTTTAAGTACTTTTTATTTAGATAATGTATTGATGGGGGATGCAGTGGCGCAGTAGGTAGTGCTGTTGCCTCACAGCAAGAAGGTCGCTGGTTTGAACCTCGGCTCAGTTGGCGTTTCTGTGTGGAGTTTGCATGTTCTCCCTGCATTCGAGTGGGTTTTTTCCGGGTGCTCGGTTTCCCCCACAGTCCAAAGACATGCGGTACAGGTGAATTGGGTAGGCTAAATTGTCCGTAGTGTATAAGTGTGTGTGTGAATGTGTGTGTGGATGTTTCCCAGGGATTGATTGCGGCTGGAAGAGCATCCAACGCTGCGTAAAAATGTGCTGGATAAGTTGGCGGTTCATTCCGCTGTTGCGACCCCGGATTAATAAAGGGACTAAGCCGACAAGAAAATGATTGAATGGATGTATTGATATTTGTAAAAAAAAATCAATCAAATCTCTTTTTCTCTTTTTCTCTCATCTATGACTATAAAGTTTTCAAAATTTTTATTACTGTTTCTTTTTCAAATATCTCATTTGAGTTGTATATGCTGTGATTCAGAATATGTAACTCATTAAATATGCTTTTGTAACACACCAGTCACTACTGCACCCATCCCATTCTGAACTAGGGTCGAATCAGCGATTCTTCACATGGAGGTTGTTTGCTCTAACAAGGAGGCTAAAGTCCGTGCCTCTAGCATCTGTCTCTAGAGCACCTTTTCAGGTTCAGTGAAGTGAGGTTTGCCTGTATAGCACTTCGCTAGCTGGCCTCTGTTTACTCACTCCCATCCCAGATGAGCCCCCACATGTAACCAACCAGTCTCTCCTTTTAGAATAACTCTGAATAGGACAAAAGCAGTCATTTTAGAAGTGCACAACACAAAAACGTTGTATACTTCATTAGACTAACTGGGAATTTACATATTTACCAGAGTTCCTGCTCTTTTTGAAAGTACTTTAAAGTACTTGAATTTCAAACATATAGAAGGCCTGGAAAGTACTTAAAAACAAACACAGGTCCTTAAAGGTTCTGAATTAATTTTGTTTCTGGTTTTATTTCAACAATTGTACTAAATTGTTAAAAACAGAAGAAAGAAACTGAGAATTTCTTAAATTAAAGATATTACATTTAAATCTGAGATCACTTAAATTGTAAGTAAAATGTTAAGTAGGGCGACACGGTAAAGAAGGTCGACAGCAAGAAGGTCACTGGTTCGAGTCCCATCTGGGTCAGTTAGCTGTGTGGAGTTTGCTTGTTCTCCCTGTTTTGGTGTGAGTTTCCTCCAGGTGCTCCGATTTCCCCCACAGTCCAAAGACATGCCCTATAGGTGATTGATTGGACTAAATTGGCTGTAGTGTTTGTGTGTTTGGGTGTTTCCACTGGCTTGCAACTGGAAGGGCATCCATTGTGTAAAACATATGCTGAATAAGTTGGAGGGTTATTCCGCTATGGCGACCCCTGATGAATAAAGGGACTAAGCGGAAGGAAAACGAACAAATGAATGGATGAAATGTTAAGTACATTAATAACTTTCAAGCCACTCCATATGCTGGGATTAGACAAAGGTGCTTGATCAGATATGAATGGTGCTTTAAAATTAGTCCTTGAAACTCCTTAAATGAGCTTTTTATGTGATGTGTTTGATGTACAGGTCTGAACACCAGTGGCTGGGCAGAAGGTTGGGTCACTTGGGACTTTGAGTTACTCTGCAGCGATGGCAGTCGGGCTCCTTTGTCGCAATGGAAGAGCTGTAATTTAGGCGCAGTCCCTCCAAATATTGTTATGACACGTCCTGTTCTTACCGCTCGCATTTATGACCTCTTAATGAAGTCACAGGTCTGCACATCCAAATCAAAATCAATGAACTAAAATATAAGTGAGTCTTGTCGAATCTGAGCACTGATGTGTTTTGCACTATAGGATACCACAGAGGCTCGCCCTGATTCTGGGTTTCATCTGTTTGAGTCTCAGCAGTACGGAGAGAGTGACCTGCTTTTTAAAGATGTTACAAAGTGTCTAGTTCACACCAGTCACATGGACTACCGGACCATACTGGGAAATGAGTTCTGTTCACAGGCGGAGAGCATCTTCAACTGCACACACTCCAGTAAGAACACATGGAAACTTTGTTATATGACTACAGCATACCTGTTGTTTATTTGCATTTGTTTTTATGTTAGGATTATTGCTGGATATGTAAATATGTTTGATTAAAAAATTAGACAGAAGTATTTTATTTGAATTATTAATTGTGCAAATTCATAATTAGGACTACTGTTTACATTTTTTGACAGATATCCTACAGTTCTGCAATCAAGATGTATGCAGCATATTCTAATCAGTCTAGATGAAATAGCATATATATATATATATATATATATATATATATATATATATATATATATATATATATATATATATATATATATATGTATATATATATATATATATATGACTGTTAAAAAGCAGCATGGGTCATGTTTTGTATTTTATGTATCGCTCATGACATACAATAAAATATAATTTGATTATATATATTTTATATATATATACGAGTTATATTTAAGAGTTTATCTGCTGAGAGAGCACCGTTGGAGCTGTTTCAACCTGCCAGAACGAGTTCATGTTCGCGATACTACATTTCCCAACATGCAACTGTGAAACGACAAAACGGAAGTTCAGTTGATGACCGCTGCTGCTGCTACTGTACTAATGGTTACGAAATAGAAGACTTGGTTTCGAGGATATTATCAAAACAGGTAAGTTATTGAATTAACGTAAGTTAATTAGTTGAAGACATGAGGTAAGTGTTAATGAAAATATTCACATGAGGCACAATGTCGATGTTGTTGTCTTAGCCTAAAGTTCTATGTCATGTAATTAAAGTAAGCGTTATAAAATGAGTTTGGTAACATCACATCTACTTTAAAAGTTTTATTCTGTACAAACAGCCTGTGAAGGTTACAAACCTGAAGTAATTTACGTTAGGTCACCTTATTGTTTAACAATCACTTGTTTAGTAAGTTAATGCTATACAGTAGGGCTGCATGATATTGGAAATGTGATATTGCACATTTTTATTTTACTGCCATAAATATTGCAATATGAATACATAAGATACTTGAATAGCTGAATTGGTTTTCTGGGGAATCTGACAATATTCGGGTTACAGAATTTATATAAAAACTTAGATCAAGTAAAAAAAAAAAAAAAAAAAAAAAAAAAATATATATATATATATATATATATATATATATATATATATATATATATATAGATAGATTAACTTTTAAAGAAATAAGGCAAACTTAAGCTAAATTATCTGCCAGTGAAGTAAAATAATCTTGTTTTTGCTTTAAAAGGTAGATATTTATTTTGGACCAAAAACAAGACAAACATTCAAAGTACGTTAAATAAAACTTTTTTATTTTATTTTGCATAAATTGTACAAATTCCATATAAATACAGTAATTTAATATAATTTTTATTCAATCCAGACTTAACATTGTATATCTTGAATGCGACTATTGCAGATGCACACACTGCAACATCGATGCTGAAACAATATATTGTGCAGCCCTAATATGCAGTGAATTCCATAAACTTGAAGCCTTGCTCCTTAAACCTTCAAATGATGTATTATTGAATTATTGTTGATAAAAGTTGTCAGATATTTTGCTGCAAAGGGGACACATTTGTTGTTAATTACTTCTTTGCATTTAAAAGGTACGGAAGCCTTAAAATATTACAGAAAAATTAATACATTTTATTTTCTTTAGGTAATATTTTGATTACTATTTAGAATTTTGAGGATATTTTATAATACTACGATACTCTGATGTTTTCTATTGCTGTATTTGTATTTTTTCAGCAATATTTCACATTACAGAAGAGTAAAAGCTTGATTATATTTTTATTGTAAATGTTGCTCTTTACGTGTGGCATGTCATTTTTTTTATTCATTTTGGAATTCAAATAATATTTTTGCAGTCTTGTCGGATTGTTTTTGACCTTAAAGTTGCCACATAACTTTTTATAACCTTTTAATACATCCAAATCAATTGGTCCATTGTCTTATCTAATCTGTCAAAAGTCACCAAGTGTCCATTCAGATCAAGCAAACAAAATAAAGTAACAGTTTTCCATCGGCCCAGTGGCATATGCAATACAAACCACTTTCTAAATTTCATTGCATAGTTAACAAACCATTTTGCCTGACATTAATTTGATGTTAATATACTGTAGTTTGCTTTTATCTGCTGCTGAGTGAACAGGTCTGTAGATGCTGTTGTCATGCAGATACCTGCCTCCTCCTGTGGCAGTGGGAAGATGTGCTTCTACAATACAAGCTGGTGTACAACAGTTTGTTCCTGCAAGTGGCTCCTTTGACTCCAGTGCTTTGGAACAGCTCCAGGCCTTTATATCACAGGCTTCTCGTCTGTTTGTAATAAGCGGTGCCGGACTCTCCACTGAATCGGGTATTCCAGACTACAGGTCAGAGGGAGTGGGACTGTACGCACGGACTAACAGACGGCCTATGCAGCACTCTGAGTTTGTGCGCAGTGAGAAATCCAGGCAGAGGTACTGGGCGCGAAATTATGTGGGGTGGCCACAGTTTTCTTCGCACCAGCCTAACTCAGCACATCTCGCATTACGGGACTGGGAAGAAAAGGGAAAACTGCACTGGCTTGTGACTCAGAATGTAGATGCCTTGCATTTAAAGGCTGGACAACAGAGACTGACTGAACTGCATGGATCTACCCATAGGTAAGACGGTTAAAAGATAAAATCAATCTTTGATTCTGTGGAGTTTTATACAGTGTAAAATAACAAATTACAAAAACTCAGATTACTGTAATTGAGTAGTTTTTCTCAGGAATTGTTATTTAGTAAGTAGTTTTAAAATTGTGTACTTTTACTTTCACCTGAGTACATTTTTAGTGCCGTATCAGTACTTTTACTCCACTCTTTCCTTCAACCAGCAGTCACTACTTTTTTCTCTGTCTATAGGAATTGGCTTAGTAGAAAAATCAATCTTGTAATTTCTGTCCAATCAAATCGCACATAGAAGGTAAATCGTATCATACTGAACTACCTGAAGACATGGGCGCTTTATAAAAGCAGCAAACCATTTGGAAGCATTAAAAGTGTCCAAGAAGATGTCCTTTAACAAAAACTAAATGCACTACAGAATGTTACGTTTACACATTCCTACACAAATTGCGTGTAAACGCATTAGCCTTTCACAGTGTAAAATCATTACTCCTGAGTACTTTTAAGGGCTTCTTTTACTTCTTTAAGGTCTACTTTTTACTCATACTTTAAGTAATATTTACAACAGATTCTTTTACTCGCATTACAATTTGGGCAAGTAATTGTACTTTTTCTATCACTGCTGGGTACTGATTGTTTCGATGAATAGCTTTATCACAGTAAAGTAGGAAATAACAGAATAATTAATCCAACTTCAATAAATATGATCCATACAATTATTTTTACTACTAAAAATACTACTAAAGTGCTATTTTTTTTTTAGCTTGAAGGGTTAGTTTACCCAAGAATTTATATTTTGTTATTGATTACTGATGCTCATGTCCCATGAGACCATCTATCTCATAACACAAATGAAGATAATTTAGATGAAATCCTAGAGCTTTCTGACCCTTCATAAAAAGAAACAATACAGAGATGTTTAAAGTGCAGAAAAGAAACCAAAATGTTGTCAAAACGCTCTGTGTGATTCAGTGGTTCGACTGTAATCATACAAAAATACAAGTGCACTTTTGTTTGTCAAACAAACTGTAAAAATGACTTTGTCTGTGTTTTTCTTGTCAGGTCTTGGTGTGCATTTACACACAGAGTTAGCAGCGCAACACACAAGGGTCGTAATTCCCATTATAAACATGCACCTTAATCTGACATGTTAGGCAAAGTTAAACAAAGACGTTTTTATGTTGTTGTTGTTTTTTTTTTTACTTCATATAATTGAAGTCGCATAAACCGTTTTATCAATGTTATTTTTTATTTTTTTAGACTTTGAAAGTCTCAGAACTGTTGCTGTCTTAGAGAGCTCTCATGTTTCATCTAAAATATCTTAACATGTGTTCTAAAGATAAGTGAAGATCTCATGGGATTGGAACAACATAAAAGCAATGAATTGATAACAGAATTTTCATTTTTGGGTGAACTGACCCTTTAAAGTCCCTTCAATTACTGTTTAAAGTTTTCAGTTATAGCTGTAAAACAGCTCTGTAGAAGACAGTAATGTCATCATTTAAATGAATGTTGACTCAGTTATAGTATCAATTTTGCAAAATCTACATTCAAAACCATCTTAATGGTGCAAAATTCATCAATTTTGAACCTTAAAGAAGTTTGATTCAGTGTTGATGCAGTCCATTCGATTCAGATTCAAAACAGTCAGTCATGCAAAAATGTGTGAAATGTTATTCAGCTCCTGTCAGTGCTGATTTAATTCAGTGTGAATGTTATAAAATTCATTAATAATGAATAATATTGAGCTCAAGTCAATGTTGATTCGGTTTATATTTAACAGTGTCAATGTTGCAAAAGAGAGTCATTGGTTTAATTCTCATGTCCTGAATATAAAACAGTGGCAACATTAAATGGAATTTTAATTGTTCATCTTGACTGAATATTGATTTAATTCACTTGATTCAATGCATCACATTCTATAGATGTTGATATTGCAAAATTTGTCAACATTATTGATATGATTATAGAGTAAAGTCAGAGCTCTGTGTGTCTGTCCACTGATGTTTCTCCTGCTGGTAGGGTTGTGTGTTTGGACTGTGGTGAACTGACTCTTCGTGCTGAGCTTCAGAAGCGTTTCACAGCCTTGAACCCCGGCTGGGAAGCGACTGCATGTGCGGTGGCTCCAGATGGAGACGTGTTTCTGGAGGAGGAGCAGGTGCTGAACTTCAGAGTGCCTGCATGCAACGCTTGTGGTGGCGTTCTCAAACCCGAGGTCACCTTCTTTGGGGATGTGGTCAAGCGGAATACAGTTCACTTTGTGCATAACAAGCTGGCCGAGTCTGATGCTGTGCTTGTTGCTGGATCTTCTCTTCAGGTTGGTAATGTTTCATTTTCACTTTGATTAGGAGTGCTCATTGCTATTTGCTGGTGTAATGATGTAATATACAGTTGAAGTCAGAAATATTAGCCCCCCCCCCCAGTATATTTTTATTACAGTTTTTGTTTAACAGAAAGATTTAAACATAATAGTTTTAATAACTGATTTTTTTAATCTCTGCCATGATGACAGTACATAATATTTTTTAAGATATTTTTCGAGATACTAGTATTCAGCTTAAAGTGACGTTTAAAAACTAAGATTAACTAGATTAATTAGGCAAGTTATAGTAATTAGACAAGTCATTGTATAATGATGATTTGCTCTGTAGACAGTCTGAAAAAAATATTGCTTAAGAGGGCTAATAATATTGACCTTAAATTTTTTTTTTTTAATTAAAAACTGCTTTTATTCTAGCTGAAATAAAGCCAATAATACTTTCTCCAGAAGAAAAAATATTATAGGAAATACTGTAAAAAAAATGTCTTGCACTGTTAAGCATCATTTGGGAAATATTTGAAAAACAAATTTCAGAGGAGGGCTAATAATTCTGACTTCAACTGGATGTGTTACATAATGATTTATTGTTAATCTTTAGTTTTTAAAACGGAATAATCATTTAACAGTAAATAAATTCAATTAATGCTGATCCTACTGTCGCATTTAAAGAAACGTGGGAGTGGGATCTGGGAGTTACTATGACAGAGGATCTGTGGGAACACTTTAGCCCAGGTGCATTCCTCTTCATTTTGTGCTAGGCATGGATTGATGTAGTGTAATATATTGTTTAGAGCTCACTTAACCAATGCTCAGTTGGCTAATTTCTTTCCAGAAAGGAGCTCTGCTTGTAATCGTTGCAAATATTCTCCTGCTGACTTTTGGTCAGGTGTTTTTAATACATTCAATAAAGCCCTCAAAATCATTATACGTTGATCCTTTGCTAGCCATCTTTGGACTATCCCGTAGACCTATTTTGACAGTCCCTGACAGCAAGGATTTTGCTTTTACCACAATTTTAGCCAGACGTGCCATAATTCTAAAGTGGAAACACCCCCCCACCCCTCCCCCTCCAATGATAAGTGGATACAGGACAACTCATCACTGGGAAACACCCATACACACTCAATCATGCACATACACTACGGCCAGTTTAGCTTACCCAATTCACCTATACCACATGTCTTTAGACTGTGGAGGAAACCCACGCGAACATGTTGAGCTTTCAAACTAAACAGAAATGCCAACTGACCCAGCCAAGGCTCGAACCAGCGACCTTCTTGCTGTGAGGCGATTGTGTTACCCACTGTCGCCCACAAATGAAATATATTTAAAAAAAGGGAAATGCTATACAAAGTAGTTGGTTTAGGTATGTTTGACTAGAGTTAACTAGTTAATGAGTATCAAAACCTAAATAACATTAGACGTGACATAAATTAGGGCGACACAGTGGCTCAGTGGTTAGCACTGTCGCCTCACAGCAACAAGGTCGCTGGTTCGAATTCTGGCTTGGTCAGTTAGTATTTCTGTGTGGAGTTTGCATGCTCTCGACATGTTTGCGTAGGTTTCCTCCGAGTGCTCCGGTTTGCCCCACAATACATGCGGTATAAGTGAATTGAATAAACTAAATTGGTCATAGTTTATGTGTCTACATGTTTTCCAGTACTGGGTTGCAGCTGAAAGGGCATCCGCTGTGTAAAACATATGCTGGATAAGTTGGTGGTTCGCACCACTGTGGCGACCCCTGATGAATAAAGGGACTAAGCCGAAAAGAAAATGAATGAAATAACATAAATTACGTGAGAATTGCATCCTAAATCCAGTCATTTTCTTTTTATGTTATTTTAAAAGGAAAAGAAAAAAATGGAAATGTTACACAGTCAGATTAATAAATTCATGTCTGTTTAAATAGGTTTAAGTTGTTAATAACGTGATATATTATGACCTAGATAATGCAGATATTTATCTCTTCCAATTTTGGGAAAGTAAAGGCATCTGTTTTCCAATTCTTAAGGTGTTTTCAGGGTACCGATTTCTCCTCGCTGCTAGTGAAAGAAAACTCCCAATAGCCATTGTGAATATTGGAGCTACACGAGCTGACCATCTGACTGACATCAGGGTGAGTGCTCGATGTGGAGAAGTGCTGCCAGCCATTAAACTGTCCTGACAAACTCAAGCCATTAACATTAAATCCTCAAGATTACTGGAGTATATTTTGATTTGGTTCTAGGCTGCTTGCATAATATAACAGATTCCTACCTCAGCTCTCTAAAAATCTAAAAATGATCAAGATTTTGGAGGTTAAAGTGTGATACAGAATACATCACTTGCACTGAGTAAAGTTGAATATTTTATGTATTTATTACTTATGAAGTGGGTTCAGGTCTGTTTTCTCATTTAAAATATTTCTGAAATGTAAAGATTACTCCTGATAAATAAATATGGGAAACACTGATGATCATGTTGATATTTGAAATGATCTGAAGATGATGTGTTTTGATTTTATGTAATAATGACAGTTTCATTAAAGATGAATGACTATGATTATGTAATATTTATATGTTAGTGAATGAACCAGGATGTTTTTTTTTAAACGCACTGGAACATAATAAAATTATTCATTATTTGTTGTGTCTGACACAAATAAAAATAAAGGTAAAGTAATTGTGTTGATAATTATAGCATTTTTTACAATACAAACAAAGCAGCAACTGTTGGTGTATAATCTTATTGTATGTAAACTTGAATTTCAAGAAAAGTTAAAACAATTTCTCAAACAATATATCTCTCATTATTCTGCTATTGAGCATAACAGAAACAAATTTGATAATCCTAACTTACCTAAAATAGAAAAAGTTTAGTCACATTACCATCTGACTTTTTTTAAATGGCTTTGTGCCTTTTTATACAGTGTATGTAAACTTCTGGTTTCAACTTTATTTGACGTAATTACACTTTGCGACTTTGTAAAGTCAAGCAAATGCAGTGTGTCTAAATGTCCCATTTTGATGTCTGCATTAAATAAAATTGACTGAAGTTATTTGACATATGTATAAAGTAGGGATGCTCTGATCAATCAGCTGCAGATCGGTATCGGCCGATTATTACATTTTATGACTCAATTGCTATTTGCTAATCTGGCTGATCACATGAATCATGATTGTTTACAGGCATACAAGCTGAGGAAGATGCATTTTAACTTCTTTTGTATCAAATATGAACTCCAAACTTTTTCTTCTTTGAGGCACAGTGAATTATTCTTCCATCATTTGCAATGTTTCCAAATTGTATCGTTGGTCATTTTTCCAACCAAAGTTTTTATCGTTTTTTTTATCCATTATTTTCTGTAAAGCTGCTTCTGACCATGACGTGTCCACACTAAATGTTTATAAAAGACATTTTTAAAGGATTATATGCAACATCCTTCATTTATTCTCTTAGGAAAGAAGAGATCTCCACATTTATCACACTTAGAGGGAAATTGTGCTTTATGCAATGTTAAAGTTGTATAAAGCTTGAAGAATCGGTACTCTGTATCAGCCGATCAACGTGACGAGGAATCAATACTCTGTATCAGCTCCAAAAATTCTGATTGGAGCATCCCTAGTAGAAAGCATGATAAATACAAATGACAATTTTAATTTAAATGATTAATCCTGCTTAATCACATTCAAACTAAAAAGCTACGTAATTGTGTTTGTACTGCTTATATTTATTATTTAAATAGGTACAATGTTAGTATTATATAGATATTATGTAAAACCTAGTGGTTTGAATGTTTGTAACCAAGATTTAGTATTTTGGGGCTGCACCATGATCCTTACATAGAGACTTTTAATATGTCATCAGATGAACATAAATGAAGACATTTTACTCAGAACAAAGGATATACAGGACATATTCCAATACACAAAATGTATTACACTTTTGTCTTATTTTTAATCCTTAAAAGACTTGTTTGTTTCTGATATGTGTATATGAATATATTACACTCATAAAGGGACATTTTTATGTGTTTACAATTTTTGCTTCCAACTTATTATTGTTATGTACACTCAACAGCCACTTTATTAGGTACAGAACAAGCCTTCAGAACTGCCTTAATCCTTCGTGGCATGGATTCAATAAGGTACTGAAAATATTCCTTTTGATTTTGGTCCATATTGACATGATAGCATCACACAGTTGCTGCAGATTTGTCAGCTGCACATCCATGAAGCAAGTCTCCCATTCCACCACACCTGAAAAGTGCTCTATTGGATTGAGATCTGGTGACTGTGGAGGCCATTTGAGTACAGTGAACTCATTGTCATGTCCAAAAAACCAGTCTGAGATGATTCACGCTTTGAAACATGCATCTGTGCCCAACTGCCACTCACTGGATATTTTCTTTTTCAGACCATTCTCTGTAAACCCTAGAGATTTTCCTGCGTGAAACTCCCAGTAGATCAGCAGTTTCTGAAATACTCATACCAGCCCGTCTTACACCAACAATCATGCCACATTCAAAGTCACTTAAACCACCTTACTGCCCCATTCTGATGCTCACTTTGAACTGCAGCAGATTGTCTTGATCATGTCTACATGCCTAAATGCATTGAGTTGCTGCCATATGATTGGCTGATTAGAAATCTGCTTTAATGTTGGGCAGGTGTACCTAATAAAGTGGCCGGTGAGTATGTATTTGTGCTGACAGTCTCACATATTTATCATTTTAGTATGAGTTTAAGCAGTTTTAAAAATACAAATAAATAAATAAAAATTATGAGATAAATTAGATATCAGGATGTTGTTTTGGACAGTGTTCTTGGAGTCAAAAATGTTTTATTAACAACACAAATAAACCCTATGTAATCCAATTCTCAGAAGATACATTGTTAAAATGTGTGACACTGGCAAAATAATACCAGTTAAACAAAGTTTATTCAAAGAGTCACAGAGGGCAAAGTGACGGTGTCCCTAGAAAAGCAGATGTCAGTCAGAACAGTCTGTTTGCTGAATCTCTCTCTCAGATGATCAGTCCAGCGCTGTATATGGCTCTGCACATCTGACCACAGCTCTTCTGGGACACTGAAGGAGTAAAGACAACAGCGCTGCTTTATCTCATGTATCTGCCACCTGACCCAAACCGTGCACACTACCAGGGGTGTCATAGACAGACAGTTCTCAAATCCCTGAGTTTGTTCAAACCAATAGGACGCAGGATAACCTAACAAGATCCCAAAAAAAGTGCACAAGTTCCAGTCTTTATACAACTCCTCTTCCAACACAACCAAGTCCAGACCATTCATGAAGACTTCCAAAAAACTTCTGACCATCTCCTCAGCACTTCTCTCAAATGCACACAAGACTGGGCGTTTTCTGGAAGAACACACATCAATCAGGGGTAGACTCTTGCTTTTAAGCAGTTCACCCAGGTGAGACTTCATGATGTCAGGGTTAATGATGAATGTGTTGTCATTAATGGACATTATCCGCAGTGAATTGCTTACAACACTAGACTCCTGCAATGAATGGAGGTAAAGTTGAAGCTGGTCTGGAGATGCTCCGTTACTGTCGTACAGCAGCGCAGGTTTGACGCCAAGATCCACGGCTATTATATGAATAGTCACTTCTAGGCACGAGGACGGAGATAAACGTTTCTTACGAGAACACAAACACTTCTGTGCGGCTGAGATCAGCGTTTCGGGCGAGGAGGCGACCATTGCGCCTCTTTCCAAGTGAGTCATTTAAGTCGAAACGAGATGTTTGTTGACAGCAGAACATACACATTTGTTATTAAAAATAGTTAACACTTATCTAGCATATGTCTACTCCAAAGTAGTGTTACTGAACGATACCTTTCATCGAATCGACTGAATCATTCACTGGGTTGTTTATAGTCCTTACCATAGACATTTATAGCTAGACGCTTCATGAGACTCTGGATAGTACGTCAATGCCGCCGCCATCTTAATCCGGTCACCCAGTCCTGCATCGCGGTTATATTAAAGCCGAGATTGAGTAATATACCTGAATTGTTTGCTTATTGGGGTTGTTTGGTTTGTTGCCAAGTAAACCTCGTCTTTGGGAATTACATTTCACAGGTAAGAAGGATTTTTACCCACTGTTTTTAGTGATTTTAACATTGCTGCCTATATGTTTTCATTTGTTGTAATTACACTGCTACTATGATAATTTACATAAGTGACTTTATTGTCTGCACTGAAGTTCTGATCTGAAATCACATTTGGTATAACATTCACTTATCACTCTACCCGGACCCATATATATATATATATATATATATATATATATATATATATATATATATATATATATATATATACACACACACACAAACACGTGTGTGTGTATATATTTGTGTGTGTATGTGTATATATATATATATATATGTATATGTATGTATGTATGTATGTGTGTGTGTGTATGTGTGTGCGTGTATGTGTGTTTGTGTGTGTGTGTGTGTGTGTGTGTATATATACATACACACACACATACAGACATACATACATTTTATGAACTGTTTTTAACTGTTAAAAAACGAATGCAACTCTCAAATGTACATTATAAGTTTGAGCTTTCAGCTAACCGGAGTATTCACACAATAAAATTATAATCAGATAATAAATATAAGCCTTATTGTATTTTATAACCGAGAAAATTTTGAGACACAAATTGCTCTCTGCTGGCTTAAACCGAACTATATTTTATTTAGATACAGATTAATTTACTATAATATGCCTGAAAAATAAGATGTATGCAAAATAAAATAGTTAAACTGAGAATCTAGTTTCCATTAACATAATTATTATAATATTCTACAGTGCCTCACAGAAATCGCGCACTGCACCTTTAAGGTGATTAAATAAATCGCGGTGACGTTGCTATGGTTAAAAAAGAATGCGTTCGAAAAGCGGTTGATGGCGTTGAGCAGCAGTCAGTGTGAGCTGCAGTGAGCGTCTGACCATCGAGGACATCGGCGGTATGTGAAGATCTTTCTAAAAGTCTCATTTTAGCTTATTATATTTGGTTGTTTCAAAGTACTTTTGGTAAAATACACTAAACGTTTGGTATTTCTCTCTGTCGTATCGTTTCAGATGATTATTTTAGCTTTTCTGCGTAATTTTTTTCTGTTAGACTGTAGATTTTACTGAATGTTAGTTGGAATTGGAGATGGCTACAGCATATTGTCGACTTGTCAGTATGAAGATTTTGAATATGTGTATATATATTTCTAATTTATGTATTCTGTAACCTTCTTTAGTAGCCTATTTAGAATGCTATTTGTTATGTTGTCAGATTGGAAGACCGAAATATACAATATTGTTATTTGTGTGCTTCATTTGTATATTGGTGTCTTGTTTAATATTTGCAGATTATGATTTGTTATATTATCAGATAAATTGATCTGTTTTAATGTATTTGTATGCTGTCAGCTTTAACACATATTTCATATTACTGTTGTATTATTTATTAGTAGTTTATGTCTGCCTGTTCAACATTTGCAGATTTTGATTGTGATTTGTTTATAGTTTATAGATTGTCATCTTGTAGAGTATTACTAGTGTTAGAACAGAACCTGACTGGAGACAGTAGTAGATGATGTTTCCAAAGAATATTATTAAAATAAATTAATGACTTGACATCCATGGACCACATGG